CGCCAGCCCGGCGCACTGGACTTCGTAAAGCCAGGACACCTGACAAACCTTCTCTGCAAGGGCACGTTTCCTCCGGAAGGCGAGAGTACATGCCTACTCTCAGGCTACTTTAAGCCTCCGTTGGGCAGCTTGCAGTATAGACGCAATAGAGATTTCCCGAAGGTCTCGTACGCCTAGAATGTGGGCTCAGGATAGATCGGAGGACCGTGACCTCCAATTAATCCCTGCCCCGACTGGGCTGTTGGTCTAATGTGCTCAGTCTAGGATAGTCCTAGACACAATGCCTAATCAATTCAGACAGTGGCGATCGGGCCTCAAAGATTACTACTTTTTAAAACTATAGTAATCCAATCTAGCAGAGAGTCATATTTATATTTTATATTTCCATTTATATTTCCATTTTATATTTCTCCATTTAATATAAAAAATATATATCATAAAAAACATTTAAAATAAAAATAATACTTAATACTTTTAAATACTAATCAAATTTCTTTTACGCGATTTTATGCCATTTCAATTGTTAACAATTTATTTCAAAATTTTAATAAATTTAATAAATTCTATATATTAATTCTGATGATGAATAAATTCTATATATTTTCAAAAAATACTTAATTAATTAACTAAACTATTATTTTAAAAATATCTGTTACTTTATATGGTACATAAGTATTTAATTTCTTAAAACAATTAAATTATTTAACTTACTAAATTTATATTTTCTTGCGAGATTGTTTGACAGTTTTTAGCAATTAATACATTGCAAATGAATTCTCGCAAATGAAATATAGAAAACAATATAAAGTAATAAAGTAATATAGTAATAAAATCGATACAAAGAACTCTATTTGTGTTTGTATAAATGTATTATAATAAATCAGTGTCATACCAAGATTAAATATACAATCCTAAACTGTTTAAATCTATTATCCATTTTAGGATAACAAATCTATGAAAATATAGCCAATTACAAAACTTTAATAATAAATACATAAAAATAGTCTAATATGAGTTTCATAGATTTGTTACCCCAGTATAAAAAAATTTATCACTCACCGATCCGATGCGCAACAGCGGAGTTAATCTGCAACGTAGCTACGATGATTCTGTAACATACAAAAAGAATATTCAAATTATATTAGGGTTCGAAACAATAGATACTTTAAAAATTTGTACATATATCGAATCCACTTGTTTTTCAATTAGATATTTATGAAAATAATTAATAATTAATAAATAATTTTCAAAAAAGATCTTTATAGAAATAAATGTATATTAAACTTTAAATTATTTTTCTTTCCCAAACTATAAATTTGAAATGATTGAAATTCAGTGATCCAAATGAATGAAAAAAGAGATAATTTCATCTTGACAAAAACTTTATACTTACCGCAAGGTTGCTCCGCCGATGCCCGACGCCTCTCCTAGGCGTCCTCCTCCTCTCAAGGTGTCGGGTCGTCGGATGTCCTCGCAGCACAGGACACTCGCGAAAAACACTCGCGAATTATCATATAATCGCGCGCGGACTAATTTTAGCTGCCCGTGAAAATATCAAGTTAGGTCGGTCCAGTCAGCACCCGAGTCGGTGAGCTTTTCGGGACACACGGTAACTCTTCAAGCAAAGGCTAGGACCGAAGCGGAAGAAGACGAATCGACTGACTTGAATCCGACGTCTCTTGTTTCTTAGAAATCACGTCTAAAATTGACTCAACCATCGCATAGCCAACGGTTCAAATCGAATCACCAGGGCGGATATCATACACGTGATATCAAAAGTCACCCGGGCTATCGAGAAGGCTGGTAGATGTGACGAGAGAGAAGGTACCCACCGCCGATGCCTAACAATCTAGGCAATCGGACAACTGGGATCCAGCCTCTCGGCACACGCAATAACCGCCCGAACTAAACTCCGATCGAGTCAGATTAAACGCGATTTGTTTAGGAAGGGAAAGGGTAAGGTATTAAGAAAGGGAAAATAAAGATCGTTGGCGATTAAATAATCGCACGCGCCACATAGGAGCCCTTTCACGACTCGTGGCAATGCTGTGTCGAAAATTGAGAAATCAAGCGAATCAAGAGAATAAGCGATCAAAAAACAAGTCAGCCGATTGAAATCTTACCGATTGGGATCGAACCGCTTATCGAAGACAGAGCGTGTTCTCAATTAACCGTTTAATGCAGGTTGCAAACACAACACATCAAGCGGGTAGCGAGTGCGTGTAACATTTACAGCCGGCATCACCAGTGCCGCGGCGCACGTGGCGTGAAGACGAATAGTCGACTACGTCTCAATGATATCCCGCGCTCCCTGCACCCCTTGACAATGCGACTCGACCGACTCGAACTTATAATATTTCTCAAACGAGCCCTCGCAGGGCGAGGAAAAGTCTGTTAGTCCGATCACTCTTACGGCACTCCCGAAGCAAACGCGCGACGCGCGACGAACTGGCTGCAGTTCGTTTATTCACAATTAAATCGGCGGTGGAAAACGGTCGGTTAAAAACCAAAGATTAACGCGTCAAACGCATTAATTAAGTTTGCCACATAAGAGCCATTTCACGACTCGTGGCTATGCCGTGTTAATATATTATTAATAACAGTAATATTACTTAACGTTAATATTAATGTTACTAATAACAGTGCAACGGGTACTGGTTAGCTTCTTCGTCTTTGGGATACATATTCAAATAGCACAAGTTAATCGGCAAACCATTTCATCGATTAATAATACTGCTTGAATAACCCCTCGGAATACTGAGCCCCTCTGCCACGTCAAGGCCGTACCCATTAGAGGGGGGGGGGGAGTATTATTTAACAAAAAGTTATGAATTTCAAAGGAATAAGTCGCGAAATATGTATTATATATGATCTTGTTGTAGAGTTCTCATTTCGGTTCATTACGCTTACGAATCGTGAATCGTATCAGTTAATAAGCATTTATTATTACGCAAGATATTTTATTTCGTAAGATATAACAACGCTTGGTTTAAAGAAATGCGAAGAAATGCGGAGCGACGCGCACCGCGATTTGTCTGTACGAACGCCGGTGAATGAATGATAGCAAGGTCAACGACTTGTAAACACGACTCGCCGTACGAACACAATGGCGTCGCGTAAACATTTCCTCAAGTCTGCTCCATCAATGACTACGACGAAATATTTCACAATATTACAATGTCACGAAACTACATCTTTTAGTAATCGAACATTAAATAATGTGTGTAAATATTTCATTAGAGAGTATCCTTTCGATATGCTTGTTAATCATTATAATCTGGCAGTTCATTCGCTCATTTAAATCAGCGGTGGAATGTTGATTAAAAATCGACAATTGCGTATATCATTAATATATTATTAATAATTTTATACATTAATATCATCCAACGGTAGTATAATATTAATGTTATTAATAATATATTAATAGCGCAATAGTTGGAATTTTTAAGAAATAAGTCGCGCGATATGCGCATATATTTATTAAAAGGATTTATTGTTTCGTTTATGAATAATTTAATCAATCGTTGATTATTTATTATTATATTCATATGATACGGCAACGGTTTGGTATCGTTTAACAATAAAAGGGCATGAGGAAACGCGAAGCGATACACTACCTATTCGTACGAACGCCGGATAAACAATGATAACACATGGAGCGTTCGTAAACACGGCGCGCGCTTCGCGCCGTACATACCACGGCATGTAAACAATTTTGAAGGCCGCGATATCTACAATGTGTGTCAATCGAAATATTCAACAATATTACGAATAATATCTAACTAATACAAGGCTCTACAACGTCTTTTTGAACTCAACATTAAATGCTATAATCGTTACGTTTTAAAAGCTGAATAATCTATTATCGTGCATTTGCTTATTTGTCTAATAGACTAGTTACGACTTATTAAAGTTAGATATATAGGCATCTTACATGTCTTATGTGTGTTACAATAAAGTGTTATAATAAATTAGTTATCGCTATATGTACATATTACAAAAAAACTGATGTAGCCAATTCAAATTAAAAAGGACAGACTCTATGTATGTACGAACTGTTCAAATACTTTGACGTAAAATTATTAACACTTAAATCTTTTGAATTTATTTTATAATTAATATATAATATTTTATGTTTTTTTATATATTTTTATAATGAAAATTTGTTTATCTTCGATAAGAGTCGAAATACTTATAAGAAAAATAATATTTATAAAATATAAAATATAATCAATCAATTTTCTAATAATTCAAAAGAGAAATGATTTAATTCTAAAAAAAAAGAAAAAAAAGTAGACAACGTCACACGGTGTTCCCAAGCGGTCACCCATCCAAGTACTAACCGTGCCCAACGCTGCTTAACTTCAGTGATCGGACGAGAACTGGTGCTTTCAGCGTGGTATGGATGTTGTCGATTACAACCTCTAGGTCTATTCCTTTTGAGTGGTTGTACTAGTTCACAGTTTATCTTTCTTTCTTACATTGGAAGAACAAAGATAAACTCTGAACTAGTGCAGCCAGTTCAGCTAAAAAGAACAGACCTCATGCGAACAGATTGGCGGCAGAAACCGAACAGAGTCTGTTTACATAGGATCTGTTCTTTTTAATTGAACTGGCACTAGTTTAGAATTTATCTTTCTTCTTCCAAGAAGAAAAAAAAAATTTCAGAAATATTACGTTGAAATATTGACTGAATTCCCTAAAGCGCATATGCGCGCATTTTATTATAGTATACGTGACATGAACTATAGATAAAATGCGCGTTACGGAATCCAGCAAATTCGCAACGTTTGCGGTAGTTCGCGGCAGTTCGCGGTGTGTTTATGTGATATTGTAAATAGATTATTTATCGCGCGTAACAACACTTAAGGCGTATGGAAAAATGGCATTTACATTTGGGACTCCATCGGTCACCTCTGCCAACACAGGTTTCGGATTTGGAGCACAAAAGTAATTATATCCATCGACATTATTAGCACTAACCTTCAAACAACAATAAAGAATTATTATAATTCCAATAAGTAACAAAATATATGTTGTTTAAATATATGTTTAAATATATATTTTTCTTTTTATTTAATAAATATTTAATAGACTGAAATTATTTTTTGCAAACAATAAGATTTTTATATAAATGTTATTTTTTCATCAAGGCCAGCAACAACCTTTGGTTTGGGCAATACGTCGTTCGCCACCCCTACTACAACGACTGGCACGTTAACGTTTGGCACTTTGTCTACTCCAACAACTTCCATAGGTCTTAATTTTGGATTTGGTACTCCAGCAACTTCTACGCCAGCACAATGCAGCAGTCTGCTTCTAGGATCGACTACAGCTACCACGATGACTACTGCTCCCAGTTTATTTCCCACCCCTACCACATCCGCGCCCTTATTCACGAGCCTCAGTTTCGGCACACCAGCTACAACGAACACTCTGACGTTTGGCGCTACATCAAATACAACAGCAACGGGAAGTTTAACTTTCGGTACAGCCACTACCAACAGTGCGTATTATTTCATGATTCATTATTCTAAAGGAAATTTTGTTATTATAGTGATTGATCGTTGCGATTGATTTATGTACAGCTCCCTTATTTGGTTCCGGAACTGGAAGCACTTTATTGGGTGCTAAACCGACGACTGTTCTCACTACTACAACTAGTACCACTAAAGGACTTGGCGGCTTAGATGTTTCCGTCAATAATAAAGGTCTCTCTCAAGGAAATAGTAGTTCAACAGCTGCTAAGGAGAATTTATTACCAAACGAGCTTATGCAAACCATAGATAAATTCAAGTAATTATGAATAAAATCATTTCAATAAAAACAATCAGTTTGTCTATAGAGCTAAATTAATTAGTATAATAGTAATAATATACAATATATGCATACACATACATGAGAATTCTGCATCACTGACTCTTGTATCTTACAGGGATTTTGTAAAGATGCAGAAAGGCTTGTCTTCCGACATTGCGAGAGGTTCGGCGAGACCATTGAATCGATGCGCGGAAGATACGGCATCTCTAATGGAAATTTTGTCCACTTTGTCCGGCTCAGTGCAAAGAGATCGTTCTTCGGCCGATAAGTTGAAACAGGATACGGCGAAGGCATTGCAAAGTGCTGAAATAGCTCAAAGAACACACGATACTCCGCCGGGCTTGCAATATGAAAATAATGCACCTCTGAAATTCTTCATGGAGTTAGCCGAGAGCTTCGAACAAGATTTGATGTTATTCAGATCACAAATCGAGACAACGGAGAAGCATATACAAGCTATGATGGCGCCGAGAACATTAACTCCGCAGGGTATAATCGATTCTTCCAATAAATAAATTCATTCGAATTAATAAAAAGTATTCTTAACGACACGTTATTTTATACGTTGTTAGAATTGACAGCGACCATGAGTAAGCTTCACGAATCTTTAGTTGCGGTCGCTGGTCGACTACAAAGTGTCCATGCTAAAGTACAACAACAAAAGGAACAATATCTCAATTTTAGGAAATACGTGTTGAAGGATAATACCAATGTTTTCGACGGTATTAAAGTGAATAATAAATCTAATCAAAGCAGCATCGGCAGGATCACGAGCGGTCCCACGCCTTTTGGGCCAGGTAATATCTTAATGCGCATATATCAGAATAATATCTAAACATTGTAGATCTTGAAAAACAAAGTTAATGCTTACAGGAAATAAAAACTTTTTGTCATCGACAACATTAAACTCGACCCGACCGGCGAGTTACGAAACACGAAATCCTTTAGGTAAATAGGCCTTGCCGTTGACTATTTTGTAATTTAATTATATATCCTCATGCGCTAAGTAAAAGATTCCTTTTTTTAAAAGAAAGATGATTTTAACCGTCCCCCCCTAAAGATTTCCTACCTTCAGGTCTTGCCTGGATCTAGTTATGAGGTAGAATTTACTAACATATAACGTCGTTTATTATTAAATAGAATTAACGTTACTATTAGTCACCTGTCACTATTACTTTTTTTCTTCTATTTTTCTCCCTCGTTATTATTATTCGACAAATAATCGTCAACTTTCTTTTTTCGATGATTTGACTTTGATTTTGCCTTTCAGGGAAAAAAATAAAGGCTGTAATTTAATTCTTGAGGTATCTAGTTTTTATTTCAGTTTTTCTTTATTACTTATTACGAATCATGGAAAAAGGGTAACGCGCTTCTTTGCCTGTATATAAATCTCCTATAAATTAGTACCAGTTAATTTGTATAGATGATTATATCGATATTATTGATATTTTATATACTTTGCATTGGATGCTATCGAAAGGTTCAACTTCAAGATTATGCTTTCTTAAATGATAGCGCCTTCTATACATGTGCTTGAGTGCTTTCGGCTTTGCCAATGTTATGCAGTAACGCTTGCAAACATGGATACTAACCAGGAAATATCGTTAAGTTTGTCACGGAGTGAATAAATAAAATTTTACAGGATGTATATAGAAATATTAAAAATACACATTTGCAATTTTCCAATCAATTTCGAAATGGAAATTGCTTGAGAATGTTTCTTTAAAAATCCATAAATATAGATTTAAAAATTTTCACTATGCTAATGTACCAAGAATATTAATTAATATCGAAATATCAAATAGAACATCGAATATTAAATGATAATAACATGATAAAATTGACTGTTTTTTTTTTTTTAAAAACAACCGTCTCAAAAATATAAACACCTTTAATAGGGAAAGAGATATTACTCCGTGGCTTTAGCTATTACATACATTCCATTTCTACTTTTATAGTGAATTGAAAGTAACAATGTTAATATATTGTTACAGTTTGGGAAAGTTCGACACCAATACCGTCTGCTACTAGCATTGCTATAGGCTCATCCATGAAACCGCCGACAGCAAGTTTAAATTTTAACGCGCCAATTAATTTGACCGCACCATTACCAGTAAACGGAACCAGCTCAAACTTTCAACTTCAAAAACCTCCCGTTGGTAATAAACGGGGGAAACACTGATTAGTCATCTCAAACTATTTTCATACTACGAATTGTTTATCTTCAACACACGTTGTAAAGTCTCCTCCATTGTTAGCATTAATAACGATGTTAAAAACAAATGTTTGAAAAGTATTTTTATATTGATCATTATTACTCATTGTGATAGCCTTATTTTTTTTTACATATGGTGTCGATATATACATAGCGTAATCTTTATTGGAATTTGTACCTTACGTTATAAATATTTCGCGTCTTACACATTAACCATACTTTTAATATTACTAAATCATCTAAAGTCGAATTATTTTGTAATAACATGTGCATTACTGGTGCACAAATATATTAAAACAATTTTTCACCGAACCTCCCTGAATTCTGTGTATAGATTGTCATTTATACATATATAATTCTTTCATGAATTGAAAACAACGAAACACGTAAAAATTATTAATGATAAAACCGTGTAAATAGATTGAATTAATAGAGCTAAGTTGGTCCCTCCTTCGAATATGAAAGATTAAAACGGAAAGCGATTATGAAACGGGAAAGTAATATTATGCTCTATCCCTACATTGAAAGTTGTATTTAGTCTTAATTTAATTTAATAGATGATGTTAAATATATATGTAAATATAAAGTATAAAAATTTTTCTTCTCTCTTATATATTTTATAATTACTCATCAGATTGCACCAACTTGCAAAATGGGAATGAGTAACCTAAAGGCATCTTGAATATATGAATTTGCATTAGAAGCCTGTGTGAAAAAGAAAGTATTTTAGTATCAATTATGGCATTGCTCGAATTTATCTAACAGAATACCTACTTCCAGAAAAATCGTTGTTATATTAGCATTGATATTCGGCTTTTCCACAGACTTCGCAAATTGCTGTAATGTGTCGCAGAATAAATTAGCCAATGAGCTAATCTGATTGGACAAAATATTGGTAAGTTGCACCAAGGCGTCCGCTTCGTTCACTGTACTACGTCGTTCCTTAATTAATAACAATTCTGCCGTCTTATGAAATCTCTCTACGGAGAAGGCTGTGAACCGTGCCAACGTTGATATAGCATTTTGAAAGATCTGATCTGTATCCATTGAAGATGACTCGAGATAATTTTCCGTTTCTGTCCAAACCTGAAAGCATCGGAATTGTTTTTACAAATTTTAACAATAAAACTAGAACTTCTTCTTTAATGTAATACGGATATTTTCTTACACCGTATAGCTTTTCATAGGTAATGTCGACACCAAGATCGTGACAAGCATTTTCTAATCTGTTTTTAAAGTCTTTATTATCTTTTTCCTCGTCATCTTCATCATCACCTAGATCGCAAAGTTCTTTGATCTCTTCTAGTGTTTCTTGCACGGATGTTAAGTCGTTCGCATTCAATTCGATTAAATGTTGTTGAATTTTCATATTACTTTGTTTTGATAACATTTCTAGAGCTTCCAAATGAACGAGTCCCTGATAATCGTCGAACAGACTCTCGAAATGCACTTTTCTCGCCAATTCGCGCTCTTCAATCGTTTTTTCCTCGGTTTCAGCCTTTTCCTTTGCTTCTCTGAGAATTTGCGATAGGTTTGGTTTCTCAATCTCGTTCATGAAGAAGGCTCTTTTCTTCTTCAATCCAGGATCACCATCTTGGAGCACTTCCATCGTTTTCTTTCCAATAGCCTCCAGTGTATCTAAACCACCCGTCATAACTTTGCTGCCAGTGGATTCAACCAACTTCGTGATTGAGGATACTCCCGATATCAAATTCCCAAATCCAAATGAACTATATGATCGACTTTCTTGTTCCTGGATCTCTAGCTCTGTTAACGGAAATTAAAAAAATTTTAATTGCAACAATTTAAATTGACCATTCTCATAATTTACTATCTAGTATAAAAATGGAAGATTATAAATGCCATATAAATAAAAAAAATTATTCATTATATACAAAATAAAAATAAAGATATTATACCGTCAGGAGTGGCTACATCTTGTTCTTTTGTTCTTTCCAATTCTGTAGGTTCTTGCACCTTTATTGTATCTTCCAAAAGTGTAAAACCTTGAGACATATGATTAGTCAGAGTAGAAACGCTCGCAGTAGCTGTATTGATTAATGAAGTTACACCCCAATTTCCCCAACTGCCCCAGCTTCCTAAAGAACTTTCGTCTTTGCCCTCTTCCTTGTTCGCTAAAGACAGCCTCTGTAATACAGGCTGTAATTTCTCTTCCGTCAGTTCATCAGGCAACTCGATATCATCTCCAAGTCCTTCCCAACCTTCAGGCTGAAAAACTTCTTTAAATTTTTATTCGACTTTAATTCTTCTGGCATGTCCATTTCTGACAAGTCACTTGACGATTTAGATTGATTACCTGCTACTTGAGTTTTTGATTTTTCTTCCATCTTATATTCTGTATCTTTTTTCCATGTAGATGATAGGGATTTCTCATTTGAATACTCGGCTGAACATTTATTTTCCTGTTCTGTAGCGATATGAGATTCATCTGCATTATCCTTTGCGAATCTAGTTCCTAATTTCTTCGCATCTAATTGACGGGTTGTATCTTGTCGTTGTTTAGTTTGCGAGACCTTCTTGATCTTTGAATCTTCTACTTTAGACATGACATCTGATTGCACGTTCTTGCTACTTTCTACAATATCTTTGTCCTTCGTTGATATCACAGAAGCTGTGGATTGCCCTGACTCAATAGAGGTCTCTTGTTTGTTAGAGGTCTTTGCTACATCAACTGATTGAGCAATATGTCTATCGCTTTCAACTTTGACATCGCCGTTGGTCTTATCATCCTTATCACCAATCGGAGTGATCTTTCGACCTGGCGCGTCTGGCGTTGCCCGGAAGTTCTGGGCTCTCCTCTGCCAGTGCGTGCCGTCACAAGGCGCGCGTTGGACGTATTCGTCGTCCGACTCGGAATCCACCGTCGTCGGTGACGTTGTCCAGTAGACCGCCGTCCGAGTGTTTCGTTTGACGCCGGAGGCGCCGAGTTCCTCGTCGGCGCTCTCAAAGTCGGCGTCGCTCTCGGACGTCGCCATCCCGTCACCGTCCGAATGAATCCTTCTATCCCTGGAAAAAGACGGAGTCCTGTGCACCCGTACGCGAAATTGATGACGCGAGATTATACCTTTCCGAGTTATACCTCGCGAGTCCGAGCTTTTTAACGACCGGGGGACGAGCTTGCATCAACATATGCTCCACATCATTTCTCGCATCACGCACACATACGGGCGCGTCCGTGTGTATGTGTGTGGTGTGTGCGCGTGTGCGTGTGCGTATGTTTATACGCGTCGAACGCTGACGATCACGTGGACGACGGAGTCATCGGACAGGCACGTCAGATTCGCAATTAATGCCTTCGTGGCGTTCGCGACCGACGATTGCGCATGCGAAAGGGCGCAATCCAGTTGTTTCGGGGTCACATCGAGGCGAACGGCTGGGGTGCGTTCAGAAATAACACTCGAGTGCACCCAGGTATCGTTTTATTCTTGTTTAATATTCGACGAAAAACACGGATAAGATGATACGTCCAATGTTTCTGAACTCAACCCTATTCTACTCGGCCGCATTCGAAATGAGAAAACGATGCACGCACGGCTGGTTGATGAAAAGAGAGTAGATGAGGTGTAGGAGCTGTAACGTGTGATTTGATGTGATTATTGGTGGTGTGACCCCCCCCATTATTATTTTTGTGAAAATTTTTCTAACTTATTTTTTTAAGATGTGATTTTGTAAAATAATTTTATTATATATAGTTACTATCAAATTTCTCTCTCCTTTAACTTTTACTCTTAGAAAAAAAATTTAAACTTCACAAAAGTAATAATGAGGAATGAAAGTATTCTAAAATATATTAAATTTTTAAAAAATCTACATAGATATAAAATATATAAAAAAACCATAAAAGATATCTAAAACATTTTTTTACATTTATCGTTGTTTTGTTCAACATAATTGATTGGAATCAAATATATACATTGAGAGCTTTGAGAGATTATTTCATCTCTTAAATCTCAAATTAAACTGATAAAAAAAATATAGATTATATATACTCTTTAAAAAATTTTATCAATGATATAACAGTTTGAATATTGTCTAACCAGTTGACAATATGTTCATTAAGTATAAAAAAACTATAAAAAAAATTGAATTGAAATATATGAAAACCTGTAAAAATATCAGATAAAAAAACGCCAATAAAACTAGCATAAAGTTTAATCTGATTTAGATGTAAATCGGAAAATAAATTATTCTCTTGACTCACTATTATCTATTTATTATAATGTCAAAGATCTTCTGTGATTTTCATTAATTTGTACAACATTATGTCAATCAAAAGGATCGTTAAAAATATTATTTTCAACATCACAAAGATATGTAATGGTAATAAATATTATTTATGATCTTTTACTATAAAATTCCTAAATCTATCTACTGATAGAAAATTTTAATATATACAATATATAATCACTAACGTATTATTACATATTATTTTTTTAAATATAAATTTTTATAAATAAAAAACATTTATTAGAGATATTTTTTTAATTTACTTGACGTTACAAAAAAACTTTTCAAAAATTAAATTTATCGTATTTGATTAAATGTTGCAATATTACGAATGTCTAACGCAATAGCATTTACACAATAATAGTTAAATTAAATATCCTAAACGCTTTGCAGTGATTGTTTATAATTTGTATTGAATTAATCGATGGGCACAAATGTATAATTAAATTACATTATTTATAATTGTATTTATAATCGCGATAGATTTTTCTTTCTCAGTGCCAATTATAGTATTTCGTGTATACAGTATAAAGTATATATAAAATGAAAATTTCAAGATCGATTATATGTTAACAATAACAAACAAAAAGAGTCAAGGCTGAAGGCAACGAGTAGGTAACGATGTATCTAAACATATATAAACTATTTATTGGAAAATAAACCAGACGAAAAAGTAACAAAGAACTGAAAATTAAAATATAATAATTTTCTCTAAAACCCTGTGGCAAATTTTAGTTCTGTACAATATGATAAACTTTTTTTATCCTGTGTCGAAAACGTATCGACGATCTTAGGCTGAGTGTTCACGCGCCTGCGCGAGATGATCCCGGGATGCACCTGCGCCCACGGAGTCGTACGGTGGCGCCATTCTTGCGGCGTAGCGGCAAATATGCGAGGCGTTGGAAAGGGCAAACACGCTCGTTTACTCCCGTTGCCTCTCTCGCACAGCGGTCAGAGATATACACGAAAGGCTTACCGGCAGCGTCGGGAGAAAAACGGGGTGCGATAGATCCCGGCATAGGAGCGACAGAGAGCCGAAGATAGCCGAGCGGCGGTTAGCCGCGAGCTACGGATCGGGGAGGGAGGGGGGGGGGGGAAACGATCGAGCGGCGACGCGTGATGAGGACGCCGCCGCGAGTCAGACGGAGACGACATGAACACGGTTCCAGTGGTGGGGGGCCAGCTATGTTCTTTACGGTGAATACAGATGAAAGGGTATTGGAGGGTGGGAGGGACGGGAAGAGATAGAGCGTGAGCGGGAGAAGGAGAGAGAAGGAGAGGGAGAAAGAGAGAGAAAGAGAGGTATTGCCAGACGGCGCGCACGGCATGAACGTCCAGTGGCATGTCTCAAACACTCGGCATGCTCGTAGCTGTGACGCGAGGTGGTAGTATCGTCGGAAACGAGAAAATTGTCCTCCGCGTATAAACGCGAAAAACTTGGTGTACATCGTGCGCGGAAAGCGTGAGAAGTTTACTCCCGAACGGTATTCCTTGTCGAGGTACGAAGAGGTGCGAATCTCGTGTTTGTCGGTACGATCGTACGATCGACGGAACGAACGGGAGATCGGAAAAGTGGAGACGGTTTGCAGTGTCGTGCTCGTCATCGCCGTGCGGTCGATCGCGAGTGCGGAGTTCAAACGGGAACGCGTGATGAGAGAGTAAGCGAAAGAGAGAGAGAGAGAGAGAGAGAGAGAGAGACATAGGCAAGAATAATAAAAAAATAAAGGAGAAGAAGAAGAAGAAGGAAACGGTAAAGAGCGACCGTCCCCTTCTCGGGCGGGCCGAGAGCGAGGGCAGCGTCAAGTTCCCACATTCCTGCGTGCGAAAAACCGCCAAGATCCGCTGCTCGGCATTAGCATTACAGCCGCGGCTAATGCAACGAGGAAAAGGGAACACGGTGAAACGTGCTCCGCCGCCACCGCCGCCTCCGCCGCTGCACGGAGCCGGCGATAGCGCGCGTCGCTCGAAACGGGTCGCGGGCCATTCCGCCTCCGCCACCGTCGTCGTCGTCGCCGCTGCCGCTGCCGCTGCCGCTGCCGCCGCCGCCGCCGTAGCAGTCACGGGAGACACGACGTCGCTGTAGCGTCCGACAGGGAGATCGCGACGTACACGCAAGAGAACGAGTCGCGCGAAGCGACCGTCGTGCCCGGCGAGGAAACCCTGCGGCAAATTATCGGACAATTACGATTACCGGGTGCGTGCAGCGCCAGTTCGTGACTCGAGCGCGTGGCTCGTTGAACGCTAGCAGACCTTGAATGTGACACTCCAAAGGGTAGAGAGGGGGAGGATGCTACCTGGACGGGTGAGAGAATCGCGCGACGTGTGTTCTTTTTAGTGGATAGAGCATAGTGAGCGAGAAATCGTCGAGTGTTTTTCTCTGTTTTTTTTCTTTTATTTATTTATTTTCGTCTGTTCTCAAGCGATCGTCTTCCCCTTAATTGTTGTTCTGTGGTCTCCTGGGAGAGCTGCGAGGGAAAAGATTGGAGAACGTGTAAAAGGAGGGAAGATTTAAGAATCTCCAGGAGGAGGAACGTGAGAGAGAAATTTCGTGTGCGCGAGTGTCAGGAACGAGAGTGGAGGATAAATAAATGAGATAGATAAGAAGAAAAGTGATCGATGGTTTATGGTGGTGGTGATGATACGCGAAGTGCACCTGATCGATGCACCCGTGCGAACGCAGCACCACGACGCCGCCGTCGCCGTCGCTCGCCGCCTCGGGCTGCTCCTCTACGGCTGGCTGTGTTAATGGTGGAATTCCGCTCGAGAGGAATCTGAAGGCGGGGACTCTGACGTCACTCCGCTCATGATAATGAGGTATTCATGATGGCGGAGTAGTGCGCGCGAGCGGGAAAGAGAGAAACAGCAAAAAGAAA